GGGTTCACAGGTTTGGATCTCAGGCACATACCAGTGCACCGCTTGTCAAGCCATGCTGTGATGACATCCCATATAAAGTAGAGGAAGATGGGCACAGATGTTAGCCCAGGGCCAATCTTCCTCAGCAAAAAAAAAAATACATATATATATATATATATATATAAAATCAGAATCACCTTGCTCTCCTACTCAAAAACTCATCACTCTTTCCCCCTTGCTCTGGAATAAAATCCTAGCTCTTCACCTTGGTTTGTGAGTCCTGCACAGCCTGGCCCTGCCCACCCGTCACCCTCCAAGCTAAATTCAAGTGACACTGTCCCTCCTTCAGCTCCTCAGACACATCAAGTTCTTCCTTGCCTCAAGACTTTTGCATGTGCTGTGTCTTGGCACAGGACATTCTCCCACCACTACCAAAAGAGAAGGAGAGACACAGAGAGGAAAGGCATCATTCCTCTCTTTGCTGGCTCTGTCACCTGCTGACTCTGTCACCTGCTCCAGGTCCCAGTAGGCAGGTCACCTCCTCAGCGAGACCCTCCCTCTAAAGCAGGTCTTCCAAGTACTTTCTCTTGGCCTGGTTTGCGTTGTAGAAGCATTACCCCCCAGTTGTGAATCCAACAGATGGGCTCCGAATCAGCCACATCTTGCCCTGGAGTCCAGGGGTCCTTCCAGCTGGCCTCTCTGACCCACCCACATCTCAGCAACGGTCACACCAGAACCATCTGGCCTACTTTGCACCTCCGGTGCCCCCTCCATCAGGCAGGAACTGCGTCCATCTCACCCATCTTTGTATCGTTGGCGCCTAGCACGGTGCCCGGCACACGGCAAGTCCTTGAGAAAATATTCACCAAATGAATGAGTCATGAGATCTGCAAAGCATTTAAGGTTTGGAACAAACTTTCTCCCAAGACCAAGTGACATTCAAGAGAAAAAATAAAACAGCCGAACATGGCATATGCCTAAGATTTTTAATTTTAGATTTAAAGAAAGAGAAAGAAATAGTCTTGTACTCATTTTACTTTCATATAAAGAGGAGCATAAAACCACTAGGCATGCAAAAAAAAATAAAGTTTTATAGTGTGGCAAATAAAAAAGAGAAGGGTGGGGACCAAGAATTGAGAGGGGAAAAAGGAGCCGTGGTACAGTACAGAAATAGAAACAGATGTGGAGATAAAGAGAGAGACAGAGACCAAGAGAGAACCCAGCAGAAGCACCGGGCAAGGTACCAAACAGGGCTTCACTGCTCTTCTGGGAACGAAAGGGCAACCTCCAGATTTCGAAAGGGGTTTTCGCACCTACTTAAAGGTTAAGAGCATTAGTTTTCTTCAAGTCCCCTCTTTTCTTCATTTTTCAAAGAAGTTTAAAAAAAAAAAACTGACTTCCTATGCTAAAAATCAGGGGTTAGCACATTTCATTTTTGAAGAGAACACAATCTATTCAAATGATTTTTTTAAAAATACATCACTATGTGTCTTTTAAGGATATGGCTACAAATTTTTAAGTCATACATGGGGTTTTCAAAGTTACGAGCAAGAAGAGGGACGGATCCTTGGGGGCTGTATGAAGGAGGAGCATGAACTTCAAGTGCAGTATAGCGAGTGTCTTTTGAACTGCACACCCAGCCCATTCCCTTCTCTGGAACTTTCCATGGCCCCAGCCCCTGAGGAATGAGCGAGCAGAGCCTAGCAAACCAGGATTTGGGCTCCAGTGAGCTGGTGAGGGGCCTAGAATTGGGATAGCATATCAAATGGATAGGCAGGAGCGTCGGCATTTTTCCTCCAGGCGTTTTCTGCCTGATGTGAGTGAGGGGGCAGGGAGGGCTGGTCTGCAGAGAGACGTGGACGATCAGGAAAGTTGTGTAGCAGGTGGAGTCAGACACCCGGGTCCAAATCCCGGGTCCACCACTCAATAGCTGTGACCTTGAACAAGTTCCTTGACGTCTCCTCGACCTACCTGTAACCTGCTTCATAAGACTCTTTTGAGGATTAAATGAGTCAACACATATAGCACTTGGAACAGGGTCTGACATGCGGTAAACGCTCGCTAAGTGTGAACTATTATTACTACCACCTTGCTAAACTGGAAGCCTCTGAGGGCGAGGATTTCTGGCTGTTTTGTTCACACCACATCCCAGAATCTAGAAGCATGTCTGGCACATGGTAGGTGCTCAACAGACGTGTGTTCAATGACCAGAGAATGAAGATACCACAGCCCGAAAAGGACTGAGACCACGGACAGAGCCTCCTGCCTCTCCTCCTCATCTCGACTCCTACCCCCACGGAGCAATCAGAGGGGGGCTTATCAAAGCCTAAATCAGACCATGTTTCTTTCCTGCTTTTCCCATCTCAGGATAAAAGGCAAACTCTCCCCCATGGCCACCCACACCCTGCATGCCTTGGCCCTTCCTACCTCTCTCTCCTCTCCCTCTGGCCCTACATGCTCCAGTTACACAGGCCTCCTCAAGTTCCTCTGCTGTGGTCTGCTTCCTTCTGCCTCAGGGCATTTACACATGCTGTTCCCCCTACGCCTCCTCAGCCCCAGTCTCTTCCTCAGGGAAATCTTAACAGTGAAATCTTCCTCATCTACGTTGGCTCCTCCATTTTACACACCTAGAGCCCCCGTGCACTTTTCCTTCACGCCACTTGCCACTATTTGTAAGTTTATCATTTGCATGATTATTTAGTCAATGACTCTCTACCCCCTAGACCATGAGCTCCAGGAAGAAGGAGACCATAACTTCTTTTTTCATAGTATTTCAGCATCAAACACAGTACACGGCAAAAAGCAGGTGCTCAACAAATACTTGCAGAAGTGACTCCCCAAGTCCAGGTTCTTCTCGAGTGGAATCTCCTGGCCTGTTTTATGCAGTACCCCAGTAGCCTCGTCATACAATCCCCTTTTCCTAATATGCTTTGAATGAATTTCTCTATTATTACCAAAGACTTTGATTCCAATACACACTACACCACCCTCCAATCCAGGAAGTCAGCATCCAAGAATAGATAAGCCTAGATCAATAATGATATGAAGACTTTCACTTCCAAAAATCCATTTTCAGGCCTGACAGAGTAAATGGTACCAGACCAGCCCTTCCACCATAAACAACTATAAAATAGGACAAAAGCATATAAGTCAACTTCTCTCAGGCATGAGGCAGCAGGAAGCACAAGACTGTGGTCCCTGAGGGTAGGAAGCACAGGCAGTAAGCCCATGTTCACTCCAGCTCTCTGCCTGGGGACAGCTTCCCCACCACACCAGGGAGCACAGTGGTCCTGCTGAGCTGAGAGGGCAGAGCTCAGAGTCCTGGGCTGCAGAAGCAGCTGGAATCTGTGGGAAGGCATCAGAGAGGAGTAAGGTGCTGGGGGAGCCCTCAGTCCTAGGCCAAGGTCTGGGCTGTGTAAGTGCAGAGAGAGAATGTGCAGAACTTAGCAGAGAGAGAAACACTGCTATGGGGTAGAGAGGGGAACAGAGAAACTACAGGTTGAGCAGGGCTGGCATATTGGAATTCCAGCCCACCAGAGAGGAGTGACCTCCCCACCAAGCATTAAAAAAGGCTATGCCTTAGGAATAGGGCATGCCTTAGAGTGAGGGCTACTCTAGGCCTGCTCTAGCAGGGTCTAAAACCAAGGCTCAACTAGATCTACAAAGGAAGGAGTTGAAGGCTAACCCCATCAAGTTGAAGGGCATGAGAAACACCTTGAACTTTCCACAGGCCTACCCTAACAAAGTGTAAAATCAAACCTACCCAAGTTCAAAGTGATCAGCCAGTAAATGAACTCCTTTAAAGGAAGATAACAAAATCCAGAGTCTCTACAATGTCCAGTATACATTATCATCACAATGTCAGAATATAGTCAACAATTACTAGACATGCAAAGAAAGAGGAAAATGTGACTTGTGGTCAGTGAAAAGAAGCAATGAATAGAAACAGATCCCAAGATGGCTGTGATGTCAGATTTAGAAAAAGCAACTGCCAGGATTTGTAAGTTCCTAGTATTATCATAAAAGGCCTGAACCAGATATACACACCCAAAGCACCTGTGGAGATTTTGGGGTTTGGGGTTTGTTTGTTTTTGTCTGAACTCTACTCATGTCATACAGCTTCTAATTAAGTAGTTTCAGGAGATGCTCAAGAATCTGCATTTTTAACAAACACTATAGAGAGTTCTAATACCCACGGCATTAGATTGTTATCACAGAATTCCTATCATAGAATACTTCCACTTTAAGGCAAACAAAAAAAAAAACAGTAATTAATTTAAATGGACTGAAGGTCTGGTTAACTGAGTTGGTTGGTGGGCACCAGTCAGCAGGTCCTGGTTAACCAGAGTATACAATTAAGAATATTTCAACTCTAATTATTTTCGAGAAGAAAGAACACTTCCCTACTTATTTTGAAAAAAAAAATTGTGGTTAAATCAAAAGCCACAGACATAAAAGAAAATGATTAAGAAAAAACAGGAGAAAATACTCACTGTATAATGTAAAGTAAAAAGAAGAAAAATCAAAGTACAAACTACATCAAGTATATAAATGTACAGGAATAGATATTGCCATGTTTGTGAATAGAAAAAAGGCAACAGGAAATACATCAAAATGCTAATAATAGTTATTTTAAGTAGTTTGACTATATATAGCTGTAACTTTTTCCTACTTTTCAGTATATTTTTTTTTATTTTCCTCAGTGGACTCTCATATGAAATTTAAACACAAAATGATGGCTTCAGAAACCTATCAATACACAAACCTCTACAGAACTCTAGCACTTTCTCAAGCAGAAAGGGAGGGGGGAAGCAGCTTGAGCGTGAATATCATCGCTACTCTTATCCAGCTCAGCAAGACTGGCTTCTGACACTCATTCAATCTCCAATTTCCCATCCCTCAGAGGAGTCAGAGGCTGAGACACATACCTCAACCTACTAAGCAATAGGCAGTGGCTTGGCAGAAGCGGATCACCTAGCAACAGACGAGGGACACACAAGGAAGAGGATTCAAGTCCATACCTGAACCACAGGGTGGCCGCCAGTTGGGGCTTTGACGGCCCCTCGGCTGCCTTCGGTCTCGTAGTGGGCCCGGTGATGGGGCTTGGGCTGCACCTCAATCCGCAGCTCGTAGGAGCCCGACTGGTGGGAGAGCGGCCACTCAAGTGGAGGGAGGGGCGTAGTCACTGGGATGCTACAGGAGGAAACAGATTCAGCCACGTGTAAAATCAGTCAGAACCAGTCAACCTGTACAGTAAACGTAAATGGCCCCTTTTCTGAAAATCATGTCCAGGGGGCATACGAATAAAACGCTGGCTGTTGGAAGGCACGGATTGCTCAGACATGATAGGTGGGGCTGCTCAAAAGGTAGAGATCTTTTTCTTTCTCTTTCTTCTTCTTTGCTTTCTCTTCCATCCTGATGAAGACAGTAAGACTGACATCTTCAATTTATGAAGATAATTTTATTATATGTTAGTTCTAGCATGTTTCTAACTGCTGTAACTTCTTTTCCTCTGGGAATTTTGAAGATTATCACCTCCCACCTCTAAAAAACATCCCTTCGCCAGGATGTTTCCCTTTTCCAGAGGAGTGAGTGTGGGAGAAGGAACACTGAAGTGGAAATCAGGGGCCCCACATGTGTCACTAACTTGCCCCATGACTTTAGGCAAGCAACTTCATCTTTCTTATCCTCAGTCTCCTATAACCACATAACAGACGGACTAGGTGGCATCTGAGAGCTGTTTCAGCTCTTATTTCTACGTGTGATGATCTCAATTAAAAGAAAACTTTAGGGAGAAGCCATTTCCAGTCACAGTCATTACTTCTCGGTCAAGTATAGAACATCTAACCACAGAAATGTGTCTGGTTTTGGTATGGATGAGCCAGACCACTCAGACTCCCTAAAATTAAATGAAGAGTAAAAGTCAAGAACACGACTGGAGTTACACACCCAAGTTCAAGTCCCAGATCCATCTCTAACTACCCGTGTGTCTTTGAGCAAATGCCTCTATCTGCCTAGGCCTTAGTTTCCTCAACTGTGAACGGGGAATACTAAGATCATATAAAGAGCTTAGCACAATGAGTGCTCAATAAATATTAGCTTTAATTATTTTTTGCTGCAATATATTGTATATTTCAAATAGACAGTTACTAAATAGACAATCTGACCTTAGTTAATGGTACTAGATATACACGCCTTTACATCTGAGGTTGTAAGATCTTTGAGGGCATGCCCTAAGTTTCATTTTATTTACAGTCTCAATCCCACGCAGCACACACAACAGGTACTTGATATGTGGTTAGAATTAAGTCATGTAAGAGTTGACTGAGGTCTTGATGATCTATCTGGCCCATTCCTTCAGAGCCTCAGAGAACACAAAGATGTTTTCCCAAGATCATCCAGCAAGACACAGCCAAAGCTCCAACTCCCAGTCCAGTGCCCCAACCACATCTCTACACTGTTTCTTATCTTACTAATTTATTTAAAATAGGTCCAAGAAAATATCTCATTTATGGAACGACTCTAGAGCAATGTCTGACATTTGATAGGTTCTCGTGAATAGTTAATGAATGGATAGATGGACGAATAAATGAGTGAATGAATGAGCGGTTTTATTTCAAAGAATCCCTCTATATTCAAAGTAGCTTTGAAGTTGCAAATGTATGGATTTGTGTCACTATGTCCTGATTTTTCACATATGGCAAAAATCATTCATCCAATCAGGATATTCTGTCCCACTAAGCCCAGAGCTGCTAGCAGCTGACATTATCAACTGGACTTAGTTAAGCATTTGCAACGAAGCCAATTCCATCCCTTCTCTATCATAGCAGTACCAAGGGGAGAATGGAGGGGGGTGGGCGCCCATAAACTCCATCAGTGCCAGAGTCGAACTTGAACATAAATCCAACTTAAAATTATATCCTCACTACTCAAGTCAATCTCTGTCTCTTCTTTCCAACCAGATTGTCTCCTGAAGTCCCTCTTACCCTGAAATCTTAGGGTGTCCACAGTGCCTTTATTTCTACCTTAGCTACTTAGTGCCAACATGGCTTCAAGCATCTAAATATCCTTATTCTCATTTATGTATGCAAATTAAAACTTTTAAGTTTGCAAAATAATAAGGCTCATAGAAAAACCACTTCTCCTCTGTATTAATATCTTTGGAAGTATCAAAAAATTTAGTGAGCAGAAGATTTAGTGAGATAACTCTAAGTATCAACTCCCAATTTTGTTTGGTTCCAGAATAAGTCTTTGACTACTAAAATACAATCTTAAGAATTAGACCATCGGAGCCAGTCTGAAACTCTGTATTTGAATTCCAGCCCTCAGATAAATATCATCATGAGACTTCCCTGAACGCCCCATCCTCTCAATCTTATAGAAAACTCTTGCAAATATCTCATTGGCTGGTGGGAACTGGCACTCATAAGGGACTAAGGCCCTCTAACACATTCAGAACCTTTCCGACCAAGCCACCAGTGGAGAGGGAAGGATTTTATAAATAATGAAATCTCAGAGAAATGCAAAACTATCATATTTTATAGTAATGTTCTTCCCCAACCCCAATCACTAAATAAATCACGTTTTGGAGACTGATTTGCAGCAGAAAGAATGAGGAGTCAAGAATCCTGGATTCTCACAGCCAGCTCTGTCATTAACCAGCTGGGTGATCACAGGTGGGTCACTTCACCCCTCTGAGCCCGGGTCTCCCAACCTGTCCCAGGGGTTGGTCTTGATCAGCATTTCCTAAGGTGGCTCTGTGACACTCGAGTCACAGAACTCAGAACTGCGTGGCCAAATGGCCTTTGAAATCTCTGTAAATTCCGTCCGCAGCTGGGAGGGGCCTCTGCACAAAGGCATTGATTTAACTCTTAAACCCAGAAACTCCTTCTTTAAGGAAGACCAATTGACCTACGATGGCACAGGTGTTCTCAGAACCTCTTTGGAGGACATATAAGACTGGAAGCTTCGTACGGTCCCTTTTGGTCTGGGGTGGGGGTGAGCCAAGCGCAGTGGACAGGGTCTTTGGCTATCTTCATCCCCACATCAATCAAAACAGCCTACCATCACCTATGTTGGTATTCAATTCAATATTTTATTTGAAAAAAAAAAAGAGCTTCCATTTGCTAAAAGCAAACAATGCTTTGAAAACCACGGGATAGTGGTAATCTGAAGCATAAAGCTTCAGATCCTTCATCTAAGAGAACAGATAGAATTATTGTCTGCTCCTAACTTCTGTGTGCCTCATTTTTCTCATCATAAAAATGAAGATAAAAATAATACCAAACCAGGTGTATGTGAGAATTAAATGAAATAATACATGCAGAGTGCTTAGAATTCCACCCGGCACACAGCAAGCATCCTTAACTGCTGGTGATAATTACTGTTACTATCACCACTCTAACAGCTATTGTAGCCCAATCTCCTAGCGCAAGGCTTGTCAATGAGGAAGCAGTTTCTAAATTCTCCCTCTATAATAACAATAAGATTCCCTTATAATAATAACAGCTGCCCTTGTTTTGTTTTGTTTTGTTTTGTTTTTGGTGAGGAAGATTGGCCCTGAGCTAACATCGATGCCCACTCTCCTCTATTTTGTATATAGGACGCTACCACAGCACGGCTTGATAAGCAGTGTGTAGGTCTGCGCCTGGGATCCGAACCTATGAACCCAGGGCCGCCAAAGCAGAGCATGCGAACTTAACCACTATGCCACTGCGCTGGCCCCCAGCTGCCCCGGTTTTGCACTGTTACTCTGTGCAGGCTCTATGCCAAGAATTTGATATATATCATCTCACCTAATTCTTAAAAAAAAATACCATGAGGTAGGTACTATTATTATCCTCATCTCACAGGAATGAACCAAGGCCCAGTAAGGTGCTCAATAAGAAAGATGGCCCAGATTGATTAGCAATGTCTGCCCTGGGCACAGCATTAGAAAGGTGCTCAATGAGAAAGAGGGTCCTGCATGATTAGTGACGTCTGTTATGGGCACAGCAGGATGGCAGCACCAGAGAGGCCCATGATCACACAGCCAGTGAGTGGCAGAGCCAGGACTCAAACCCAGTCCTTAGAGACCCCAAGGCCTACATGGATCTATCTACATGCATCTCTTCAGCTTGCCAAGATTTTAAGCCCCTTGAGGATTATGGCTCATACGTTTATTTTTAGGGCCTTCCTAGCACTAATTGGAGCTCTGAAGCACACAGCAGATGCCAACAAACTTCAACTCCTCTTATAATAAGAGAGAAAATCCCACGTGTCAAGGCTTGCTTTGTGCTCACTAGAATGTCAGCTCCATGAAGGGAGAGGTTTTGCCCATTTTGTTCACCACTGTCTCCCCAGCACCTGTAACAGTGCTGGCACACTGCAGGTGTTTGAGAAATACTTGTTGAATGAATGAATGAGCCAGTTGCCAGGTGAGCAACCACCTGCGCTCTATGACTGCACCCTGATCACAACCCCCCAGTAAGCGGGGTACACTTACACCCATTTTACAGATGGGGAAACTGCGGCTCAGAGAGTTAACTTCCTTCTTGAGGTCTCACAGACAGCAAACGGAGAGTCAGGATTTAAATCTAATCTAGCCAACTCTAAATCCCACGCTCACAACCAGAAAACCTTCTCTCACAACTAAACCACGGAATAAACCGTTTTCAAAGGCGACTCACCTGCAGATGGGAATAGCGGGCACCAGCTGTTTGGGCCAGGTTGGCGGCACCAGCAAGATGGACTCGGGCGCCGAGTTCCTCCTCTCCTCCTGCTCGCAGGGCCCCAGGAACTCCACGGCCGGGTAGATGTGGCGGGGCAGGCCGGCCTTGGCGGGGGCGGTAGGCACCGGCGACGGGTCGGGGCTGGTCTTCCACATCTTGGGGGGGATGCCACAAGGCGAGTCCGCGGCGAGGCTGTTCAGGGCGTCCATGAGGACGGCGGAGCCAGCCGTGGGGGGGTACCCAGCGGGGGCGCCGTCGTCCCGGGGCTGCGGCGAGGGGCTGCGGGAGCGCTGGGGTGAGGCTCCGGGCAGGGGGGCAACCAAGGCCCCGGCGCACGAATGCCGCCGCTTGGCACCAGGCGACGAGGAGCGGGAGGCCGGACGGGGCACGGGCGAGTGGCGGCCCAGGCAGCTGTCCTCAGCGAGGCTGGTTCGAGGTGACATTATTGGCGAGGTTCTGGGGGAATAATGAGCAGGGATGTTTTGAAACTGGGGACACAGGTCGTCGGGCCCGCCGTTATTGGGCGAGACGCAGGGCGAGGTGTAGGGGGAGAAGGTGTCGGAAATGAAGCTGGCAGAGGAGCCGCTGCTAGCGGGGCTCAAGCAAAGCGGCTCGCGGTAGCCCTCGAAGCCAGGCACCGGCAGGGTGACCCTTGGGCTGGCGGCCACCCCCGGCAGGGGCGGCTGCTCCACCAGGAGGCCAGTGTCTCTCACGCGGAGGGGCCCCCCTGCCTGCATCAGTTCGTGGGATGGAGTGATCTCGATCCGAGGGCTCAGGCCCGAGGCCCCCGCTGGCTTGGCCGGGATCAGAAAGTTCTGGGGCCCTACCCTATCCGGCTCTCCGAATCGGCCGGGGGGCTCGCCAGAGAGACTGGCGAGGGGGCTGTATGGCTTGAGGCCATAGTCCAGGACATCATCGGGGTATGCGAGTCCGGAGGGTGGGCTGGCGACTTTATGTGCATTCGGTTCTTCTGGAAAGAGAAGGGGGGAGGGAGGGGTCTTTTTAAGCCTCTAAAACAGAACTCTCCACGCAGAGCAATCACAGGTTGGGTTTTGTCTCCTGTTGTTAATTTTTTTTAAATCCCCACCTCGCCAAACCCCAAGCTGGAACCTCCTTCCCTCACTAGAAGGAAAGTGAGGCCACTTCATCCCAGATTCCTTGGGGAGAGAGATCGCAGCGGGAAGAGTTTAGTGCAGGTGCACGGAGCACAGCTCGGCCTCTCCAGGTGGCATTAGCCCGAGGCCTGGGTAATGAGCTGAGCTAACGGCTTCCAAACTCTTGTTTCAATGGAACCCTTCGAAGAAATGCATTCTATTTCACTACCCAGTTCACATCATCATTTTCACTCACAACTGAAACAAAAGCTTCACCAAACAATACTTACCCCTGCTACATATGAGACACTCTTATATTCCCTCCTGTCTGGGGTTATTTTGTTTAAATGCTGGTCACAACTCATTACACAGATTTCCTGTCCCTCCAGTGGGTCGTGACCCACAGTTTGAAAAACACTGCTCGAGGCCCATCCCATCACTCTGCACGTGTGATACGGCTACAGGAGGCAGAGAGAGGCTGCACGGGCTCTGCAGTCCACAGAGCTCTGGGTGCAAATCCCAGATGTTCACGTCCAAGTGTAAAAAGTGGCTTAATTTAGAACCAGGAATTCTGAGTCACGTCTCATCTTGTGCCATTTTACAGATGAGGAAACTGAGGTCCAGGGAGGGGAAGAGATTCACCCAAAGACTCAGAATGAGCAGGATTAGAAATCCCACAGACGAGCTACTTGGCCCCCAAAAGCAGAGGCATGGCTGTCTAGTCTCCCAACTATTAAAACCAGTGAATGCAGAAGGACCTAACTTTCTCGTGAACAGTGGCCTCCCAACTCGGGCTTCTGCTGCCACCTCAAAAGGACCCACAGCTGGAGGGTGGAATTAGTGGAGGAACTAGCTATTCTTTCCCGCCACCCCTCACCCCACTCCTCCTTCCAGACCCCCAGCTCCAGAGGCCCCTCCACCTGCTCTGTCTGTTACATGGGTCAGCCTCAACTCCTCTCCCACGCCTTACATCCAATCCATCAGCAAATCCTGACGCTCTCCTGCCACAATATCAACCACGTCCATGCGCTGCCCCCTCCACTGCGACCACCCTGGTCCGCGCCACCGTCCTCTCCCACCTGGGCTGCTGTGGTCGCCTCCTCCCTGGTCTCCCCATTTCTGTCCTTGCCCCTACCATCTGTTCTCTGCAGAGCAGCTTTGTGAAATGTCCATTTAAAGGCTTCCCAGATGTGCTCTCAAGTCCTTAACACACTTCTTCCCCCAGCCCGGGCCTGCCTCGCCTCTCCCACCCATCCCCACCCTGACGTGACAACAGCCCCCCGACCTCGGCGCTATTCTGCGAGCAGCTCCTGCCTTGGAGTTCTCAAGTGTGCGGTCTCCTCTGCCTAGAAGCTCTCCCCCGAGGTCTCCACATGGCTGCTCCCCTTAAATCCCTCATGTGTCTGCTCAGTCAGCACGTCCTTAGCCTGGCCCATCAAAAAGATCTCCATCCCCACCCCAGTGTCATTCTCCATCCCCTTTCCCTGCCATCTTTTCTCTGTCGACACCTGTTACAGGCTCACATCGCATCAGAGATTATCTGCTTAGGGAATCTCAACCCACTAGATCCGGGCAGGCAAACTACAGCCCATGGGCCAGATCCAGCCCACGGACTGTCTTTGTAAATAAAGTTTTATTGGAACACAGCCACTCCTATTTGTTTAATTACATACGGTTGATGGCTTGCTCTTGCACTAGGACAGCAGAGTTGGTAGTTTCAACAGGGACCATATGGCCCACAAGGCCCACAGTACTTACTATCTGGCCCTTCATACGAGTTTGCAGCCCTGCACCAGACTCCACGCCCCACGAGCGTCGGAACTACGTCTACCGTGGTTTGGCATTATTTGCCAAGCATCCAGCACAGGTACTTGTAAGCCGTCCGTAAACATTTGTTGAGTGACTAAGCAAATAAGTAAATGAAAGAATCATGTCCAAGGGCCTCCCAGCCAGAAATGGGACCTCTCCCTCAAGTTGTGTGACTGGCCCCTTCCTTGGGGAGCCGAGGTGGCTATGTAGGTAATCCCCACCCCCCGGTGCCCTTTCTGGGCCAGCCTGGAGTAAGTGCTGTCCAGTTTAGCTGAGCTGATCTCATACGGTCTCATAGGGCCCAGGTGATAGCCCAGAAATGGCTTCCCACAGCTCTTAGGATAAAGCTAACCTCAACTAGGCCAGCCTGGCTTGGCCCTGCCTGACCCTCTAGCCTCACCTCTCTCTCTGGACTCCAGCCAAACTGGCTGCCTTTCTGTTCTTAGAAAGCACCTAGCTCCTTTCTGCTCAGGACCTTTGCACTTGCTGTTCCCTCTTCCTCAACAGCTCCTCCCCCACCCAGACCCATGCCCTTCTCTACATAACTAAAGCCACTCATTCGATCCAGCAAAAGTGTCATGTGACCTCCTTGCCTAGATCAGACCCCACTCACGCTTCCCTGCTCTGCTCCATGCACTTCTCACAACTCCAGTGAAGTCATTCTGACGTTATCTGTTTATTGTCTGCCTCTCCCCCAGCCTCCAGCCCTACTCTCACCAATCAGTAAGTTCCATGAGGACACCCACACTCCCCACTGTGTCCCTAGCACCTGGACAGGACCTGCCACAAAGCAGGCCCTCAAAAAGAAATAATTATTGGTTGGCAGAATAAATAAATAAAGTGAGTTCAGAAAAGTCTATGTGAAATATTTAAACTACTACTCAAAGATTCTAATATCCAAACCAAAAGGTAGAAAGATATAACCTCGAGAGAGTAATTTGGTAATATCTATCAAAATTCCAGACACATGTATCCTTGGAACCAAGCAATGTCGCTTTTAGAAATTTATCCTGCAGATTTACTCTCATATGTGCATAAAATTAGTTAGTACCGCCCTGCTTATAATCTCAAAAGACTGGAAGCAACCTAATGTCCATCAATTGGGGATGGGTTAAATTCTGGTCCATTCATACAATGAGATACAATACAGCTACAAAAAGGGTTGAAAAAGTTCTTTCTGCATTGATATGGAATGACCACAAGATACAGTGTTTAAGGAGAAAAGTGAGATGCATACAGTATACATAGTGTAAAAACGGAGGATGAGAGAATGTACACATACACACACACACACACACACACAATGCTGACGGTGTACAGGCTTTCTCTGAAGTTACAGGTAATAGTGACTTCCTCCAGGGATGGGAACTAAGTAATTAGAGGGCAGTGGCAGGGCAGAAAGAAGACTCTGCTTTCTGACTTACATTGAGAAAAGCAGCATTATTCCCAAAAGAAACATTTTTTAATTTTATTTTAAAGGTGGTGGTGGAGGTGACATAACATGATATATAGTAATGACACCCTGGTTTTGGAAGCAGGAAACTGAGATCTAGTCCCGCTCTGCCACCAACTAGCTGTGTGACCTTAGAAAAGTCCCCCACCCACTCTAGGTCTCTGCTTTCTCATTTACGGCAGGATGGTGTTAAACCAGATCAGTCCCCTCGGTGGCTTCTGGCTGTGAGATCCTTTGATTTTTCTAGCCAGAGTCTGTAGGATCTAGAGTTCTTGCAAAGTTGCAGTTCAATATAAACTTATATTTGTGTGTGAAAACACACACACACACACACACACACACACACACACACGCCTTCCTGGCAGGTAACAGAGCATAGATTTTTAATCTAGGAACAGATCAATGTCAAATCCATGTCTGACAACATTCTGATAATCCACCGCCCTGCTAACCAGCAAAACAAAACACAAGAAGTCTCTTAGCAAAAATTCCGGCCTTATCAGAAAAACTGCATTACATCTTATCAGAAACACCCCCTCAGGGCTGATGTGAAATCATGAAAACAAAACATGGCTCACGCTCCCTGGCAGCATTTAAAAACAGAAAGTCCGGTTTGCTGAGCAAAAGCATTTAAAGCATTTACATTGGTTTTAATTAATCCTAGCAGCCGAGTTTCTCTTCTTCTTTTCTTTTTCCTCCCCAAGATTTTGAAAGTTTAATAGCAAGCAGGGAATAGGAAGGTAATTTATAATTATTTAATTCTCAGTCCTCTGGATATTTGACAGTAAATCTCACACACAAATGGCTCATGAAAACATTTCTTTACGTAGCGAGGTTCTTTGCTATTTCTCCTTACACAACCGCCACCGCGCAGACAGCTCCCTTACAGTCATTGCGTGCCCACAAGGCACTGGGCAAAGCTGGTCTCATCTCAGAACCACCAAATTTTCTCAGAACGATTTCCAAAAATCTTGCTTTTCTTACCACTTGCATGCTCTTTGCTAGATCCGTGTACCACCAGTAAATATTATTTACTTAATATTTCTATTTAAATTCACTCACAGATTACTTTGATATTTATTTTAAAAGGGAACTTTACACCACTACCACAAATGGAAAATCGGTGTCACCTCCACAAATAGAAGGTAGGGCAAAAATACAATAAAAAGAAAAGTCACTAAATTCAAGTCAGACACTCTGGCCGGCCAAAGGCTCTGAGCCTGAGGCCTCCTCTCTCATCCCTCTCAATGCTCTTTTTTTATTAAGGTATTTCTTTTCTTACGGTATAACTTATATATACAGATTTTGATTGTAGAGTTTAATGAGTTTTGTCAAACGCCATACACCCTCATAACCACCAGCACAATCAAGGCATAGAACATTTCCACAACCCCAGAAATCTACCCTTTTTAAGGCTGGGGGCGGCGGGTAGGGAATGGTAAGAGTCAGAATGAAAGACGTTAAAGACACATTAGCACCTCACGGAGACTCCACTCCTGCTGACTAGTTCAGAGACAGCAGCACTGAGAAGGAGATGGCACTCAGTGTATGCAGTGTACTCATCGGTGGACCACGTAAAACCGTCTCGGCTGCCAGGGGAGGTATGTGGCCCAC